TGGCATTCCGTGTCTGCCTCTAGCATATATACATGTCTTAACTGCGGCTGTACAATTGATTGTTCATGACATCGACCAGAAGGGGAAATCGTAAGATTTGGGACATATAGTTAAATCTTATAGGTACGGCGAGAAGAACATCGCTTATGCCGAATCTCACGATCAAGCGCTTGTAGGAGACAAGACGATCGCGTTTTGGCTCATGGACAAAGGTACTCGATTTCCTGTTCCCTGCCTTGTAAAAAATCACTCTCAGTTGTTGAGGATTCATTTTATTATAAAATCCTTTCAGAAATGTATGACTTTATGTCACTTGTAACGCCGTACACTCCGATCATTGAACGTGGCGTGGCATTACATAAGATGATTCGCCTTCTAACAATGGCGCTTGGAGGGGAGGCTTGGCTAAACTTCATTGGTGAGCCTCTTACTTATCATTCAACGTTGTAGGAAAAACATTAGACATAATTTCACAAGAATGCTGGGTTGAACAAAGCTTTCGCCCGAGACGAGACTCGAACCCGCACTTCTTGCTTACCTTGCTGCTTATTAGACATTATTTCTGATGTGGATCAGGCTTTTGGTATGGGCTTCCGTTTCCGAAAAACACATAGAGACTGATCTGAGTGTGAGTGCACTTCACGGGCTACGGGAGTGTTAGGAAGCCTTTTTAGATGTTGCAACTCCTTCCTCAACTTAGCCCCTACACCATTTCAAAACTCTGTGAATTGAGGGGCTGAAATTGTCCCAAGGTATTACACAGAAGGAAAGAAATGGTACAGCTGGAATCACCGAGACCAAGAGCTGAATGCGCTAAAAAGTGCTTTTGTCAAGGTGTTGCTCCTCCACTTTCATCTACTCTGAACTTGTTTTTTGTTATCTTCATTTCCGTGTCTCAAAATTGATTTTTAGGAAATGAATTCGGTCATCCAGAATGGTTGGATTTCCCACGTATCGGCAACAATGAGTCATTCCATTATGCTAGGAGACAATTTAATTTAGCTGATGATGAACTTCTGAGGTATTTTGGTCGGATTTTTTCACTTAATCCAATCGGATTTTTTCCATTCGAATATTAAATACTTTAACAAATGGAAATATTTCAATATTAAATAGGGACATTTCAATATTGCAGATATAAGTGGTTGAATAAATGGGATGAAGAGATGAACAGGCTTGAAGAGGCTTCAGGTTTCCTGCATGCGGACCCCGTGAGGCTTTCAATTTTGAATTTTTTTCGCTATTTTTGCTTAATTAATGACAATTCTTATTTCATCCACTTCCAGGCATACGTCTCGTGCAAGCACCATGATGACAAAATGATTTGCTTTGAACGAGCTGGTGTGCTGTTCGTATTCAACTTCCATACAACGAAAAGCTTCACCGACTATAAAGTTGGCGTGGAAATGCCTGGAATGTGAGTTATTGGGGTTACAGTTTCTTTCGGCCTTCTGCGCTGGGTCA